TCTGTTTTCTCTCCTGTATTCAGAGTAAATTGTTTATTATTTTATCTAAAGGTCAGCCAACTCCTCTTGAAGGCTGGATCCAATCTCTCGTCATCTCAAGCATTTTGCTTTCCTAGTGTTCTTCTTGCTCTTTCAGTAGCAGTTTCTCCCTCTGTATAGGATCGTTCACATCAGCATGCTCTGGTAGCTCCAATCTATAAACATGAACAACTGTCTTTTTGCTCCAAATCACCCCCTTGCTACTACCTCTTCTCTGTTCCAGTTTATAACAAAACTCACAAGAGTTGTATGTACTCATTGTCATCACTCCATTGCTTTCCATTTTCTCCTCAGCTTACTCAGTTCAGATTTTCTTCTTTTTTTCCTCACTGAAACTGCTCTTGTAAAGTTACCAGTAATATCTATGTTGCCAGATAAAGTGGTCATTTTCTTTTTCTTTTTCTTTTATTTAAATATATTTTTATTGATTTCAGAGAGGAAGGGAGAGGAACGGAGAGATGGAAACATCCATGATGAGAGAGAATCATGGACCGGCTGCCTCCTGCACACCCCTTACTGGGGATGGAGCCTGCCACCCGGGCACATGCCCTGACCGGGAATCGAACCGTGACCTCCTGGTTCATAGGTCGATGCTCCACCACCGAGCCACGCTGGGCGGGCGGTGCAGCGGTTTGGTGAGCAAAGCTTTGGTTCAACATCCTGTTTAACGCCCTCCCTCCCCTTCTGTGTTCACTGGGCAGGTGGGCCCTGCTGTGACCATTGCTGATGCCCTCTGAGACCCGGCCTGGCGCTGTGCCCTCTGTTCCCTGCGCCCCCTGCTCTGCACCCCTCCGATTCCTCTTAGTGTCTTGGTTGCCTGGAACCCCTTCTCCTACCCTCCACCTCCCCACCAGCCCCTCGGCCCTCGGCCCCATCCTGTGTGGGAGATTGTTTTGTTTTTCATTTGGTCCCTCTTTATTGGGACGTGGGAGGCAAAAGGAAAAGCCATTTGCAAAATCCACCGACTGAAACCACAAGTCCGCCTGCCCCTAGCGTGATGAGCCCTTAAGCTTCGGCAGGATAAACACGTAATTGGTTTTGCCTTAACTCGGAGAAACGTCTGAGGGGGAGCCGTGGGACCTTTAAAGTTCTGAGCCGGTCGGTGCCGTGTGTCTGAGCCACACGAACTTCCTGTCCACTGCTCCCCGGGGGGTGGGGGGGCATGGTCACCGGGGAGGGATCTGAGTGAGGCCAAATTTGCCGCAGCAATGTTTGTGACTCCAAACAGAATCCCGGCCCCACAGGGTGGCTCAGGGGTTGAGCATCGACCTAGGAACCAGGAGGTCGCGGTTCGATTCCCGGTCAGGACACATGCCCGGGTTGCAGGCTCCAACCCCAGTGTGGGGTGTGCAGGAGGCAGCTGATCCATGATTCTCTCTCATCATGGATGTTTCTCTCTCTCTCTTTCTCTCTGAAACCAATTTTTTTAAAAATCCTATAACATAAAAGCCTAATATGCAAATTGTCCCCTGGGGCAGTGATTCGAATGGGAGACCAGGAGTTCGACCGCTCACTATGATGTGCGCTGACCACCAGGGGGCGGCGCAGAACATGGCGGTGTCAGCAATGAGGCCGGTGGCAGCAGGCGGCAGTGGAGGTGCTGCTGGCCCCAATGGGCCCCTACGAGAATGGGGCTGCAGTGGGATGGTGGAGCTAGTGAGCGGGCAGTGCCAGACCAAGGCAGGTGGGAGCTGGGCCTGATCACACGCCCGCCCCCCCATCCCCCCACAGACTGGGAGGAGCAGCAATGGTGCGGGGCGGGGCTGCCACCTGGCTCCCAGGGGCTGAGGGAGAAAGGGCACCTAGCAAGATGAAAATATTTCCTCTAATTATTTCCCTTTCAATGTGCAGGAATCCGTGCACCAGGCACTAGTGTGGATGGATGGATGGATGGATGGATAGATAGATGATAGATAGATAGATAGATAGATAGATAGATAGATAGATAGATAGAAAGAAAGAATCAGGATGCTAACCACCAGAAAAGCCAAATGCAGAAAGGGCTGGAGGTGGTGTCTTCTGGGTCTATCCACAGGCAAAGGGAATGGCCCGGGCGACTTTTGCTTTTCATCACACGCCTCCCCCTGCCGCGCACACGCAGGAAGCCGTTCTGAGGTGCTTTCCGTGGGTAAAATAAACGGCGGATGTGGGACGCTTCCCTGTGTGGAGACCTGGCTCCGAAAGCACGTTGATGGGGACGACTCTCGGACCCTCGGGGCGTGAGGCTACTGAGCATCTGTCCTCCCTTTGTCACCGGGCTGCAGGAGCGGGGGTGAGCTCTTCCTCATCGGTATTTCCGACCCCAACATTCAGGAAGAGAATCACGGACCGGCTGCCTCCTGCACGCCCCCCACACTGGGGACGGAGCCCGCAACCCGGGCCTGTGCCCCGACCGGGAATGGAACCGTGACCTCCTGGTTCCTAGGTCGACGCTCCACCACGGAGTCACGCCGGCCAGGCACCGCTCTGACCTTTAAATAAGTCTGCTGTTTCGGGGTGAGGGCAGAGCCCCACGGATCACTTACCTATTTCACATGGAAAGGATTGTCACCCCGGCCGGAAATTCAGGTCATCTCGCTGACGCCCCCGGCTGTTTTCAGTGTCGTCAGCATCTCTTACTGACAGCATGTCACCAGGCTTGCATTTTTTCTTCGTTTTAATGACCACTTGGGCCCCTGTCTCCCTGGGACTGTGGGCCACACCCCTCGCCCGGCCTCTATGGGAAATAGCTCTGAGGGCAGCACGTTGGCATGGAGGTCAGAGGGCACGGCCGCATCGTCCAAGATGAGAAGCAGGCCCTCGCCCGTTTGGCTCCGTGGATAGAGAGCCAGCCTGTGGCCCTGACCGGTGTGGCTCAGTGGATGGAGCGTCAGCTTGCGGACTAAAGGGTCCCGGGTTCGATTCTGGTCAAGGGCATGTACCTTGGTTGCGGGCACATCCCCAGTAGGGAGTGTGCGGGAGGCAGCTGATAAATGTTTCTCTCTCATCGATGTTTCTAACTCTCTATCCCCCTCCCTTCCTCTCTGTAAAAAAATCAATAAAATATATTTTAAAAAAAGAGAGAGAGAGTCAGCCTGTGGACTGGAGGGTCCCAGGTTCGATTCCGGTCAAGGGCACGTACCTCTGTTGCGGGCTCGATCCCCAGTAGGGGGCCTGCAGGAGGCAGCCGATCTGTGATTCTCTCTCATCACGGATGTTTTTTTTTTTCTCTCTCTCTTCCCTCTCTCATCCTCTCTGAAATCAATTAAAAAAACAACAACAGTGAGGTTGCAACACCGTCACGCACATCACGCCCAGGAGATAAGCTCAGATCGTGGCTGTGTGAGAATCACGGGGGCCAAGATGGGCTATTCGTGCCCGAACTAACAGGTGGGCCGCCCGTCACCTCCCGATGTGACGCATCCCAATGGCTCCTCAGACACCGGGATGATCCGCCTGGCACAGTACGGTCCACGCCCCCGGGGTGGTTGGCAGAAGGTCCCCTTGCCTGGCAGAGCTGGGAGGCCAAAATGTCACACCAGATACCCTGGTCTGGCAAAGCCTTTAAATGATGGGCTGCCCGGCTGGCGTGGCTCCGTGGTTGAGCGTCGACCTATGAACCAGGAGGTCAGGGTTTGATTCCCAGTCAGGGCACATGCCCAGTGTGGGGGGCGTGCAGGAGGCAGCTGATGCATGGTTTTCTCTCATCATCGATGTTTCTATCTCTCTCTCCCTCTCCATTTCTCTCCAAAATCAATAAAAATATATATTTAAAAAAATAATGAGTTGGTAGGAAAAGTTTGTGCCATTTCAATAGCTCTTTGCCTTTTTAAAAAATACATATGTTTTTATTGATTTTTAGAGAGAGAGGAAGGGAAAGGGAGAGTGAGATAGAAACATCACATCGATCGGCTGCCTCCTGCACGCCCCACACTGGGGATCGAGCCTGCAACCCGGGCCTGTGCCCTGACGGGGAATCGAACCGGTGACCTCCTGGTTCCTAGGTCAACACTCAACCACTGAGCCACACCGGCCGGGCCTGTCCTCAGTCTGGGTTCCCAAGGACTCTTGTGCGCTCACTCACACTCTCTCGAGTTTTTGCCGCCCGTAGGGTGGAGACCAGGCTCAGGGCACATCCCTCTTGGCCCCTAGCAAGATGGGGCTGTCTTTCTTGCTCGTCCTGCCCCCGCCGCTCCCCCCCCCTCCCCTGTGGAGCCACAGGCTGCTCCTAGACAGACTGGCCATTCTGGCCAGGCAGCTTGGCTTTCCCATGCTCACCCGCATGCCTTTCTCCACTCTCCTCCTGCCTCTCACCAGATTCCTGTTTGTGTTTCTTTGAGATGGGTACTCTAGGGATCCTAACTGCCTGGCAAGGAGGAAGTAAACTATTGTGCTTTTCTAGCACATGGGGCCGTGAGCCGCCTGGAAGCCAGGGCAAAAAGGGAAACCAGCTGAATTGCAAAGCTCTCACTCTTAGTTGGGGAGGGCCCCTCAGGGCGTTTCAGACTTTTATTTTTTTACTCCAAAACGCCTTGTTTGACGCCGTATTTCCACGTGGGAGTTGACGAAGGGAACACTGTGACACATAATTGCTAGATCCAAGATCACTGTTTTACAGGAGCAGCGTTTTTCACAAGGCTCCTTCTTAAGACAGTGATGATCGTCTAGATAGAAAGGGAGAGTCTCATCAGAGAGGCCCAAAGCAGGGGGGGTGGGGTGGGCCGGAGCGGGCTTGGAGCTGCTCCATGCCCTCCCCCCCGCTAGATGGTCAAACATCCCCCAGAGCCCTGGCTGGCTCGGCTCAGTGGATAGAGCATTGGCCTGCAGACTGAAGGGTCCCGGGTTCGATTCCCATCAAGGGCACATGCCCGGGATGCGGGCTCGATCCCCAGTAGGGGGCGTGCAGAAGGCAGCCGATCCATGACTCTCTCTCATCATGGGTGTTTCTCTTTCTCTCCCTTCCTCTCTGAAATCAATAAAAAAATATATTATCATAAAGGGGCGCGGAGAACGTGTGGGAAACCCACCTGCAGGACCGAAGAGAGGACCCGGTGGACAGGGACGTGGCTTGCCCCGGTAGGGCCTCTGCCAGGCCTCCATCTCCCCCACCTCTACTGGGGTGACTCATGCCTGCAGAATGAGTCATGGGGTTACGAAACCAAAGGGCTCCTGACAGGGAGGCTGGGAGGACCTGGGGGAGCCACCTGTCCGGCCCCGCCCTCTCCCAGGCCTCTCCCAGCCCTCGTCGCCTGCCCTCTCTACCTGCCTAGCCACAGACTCCAGCGAGTTCTCTACAGCACCCCACACGAAAGGGGACACCCCTGGAAACTGAGCCCCGGTCTGCCCTCTCCTCCCACCTCCAGGCCTGCTGGGCCTGGTTTCCGTAGGAATTGGGAAACTAAAGGCTGACTTCCCACAGCGGGCTGGGAGGAAGGGAGAGGAGATCCTGAAGCCATTGGCTTGTTTGCCTGTGACCATTGGCCCGGCCAGTGTGGCTCAGTGGTTGAGCATCGACCTATGAACAAGAGAGTCACAGTTCAATTCCCGGTCAGGGCACAGGCCCGGGTTGCGGGCTCCATCCCCAGTGTGGGGGGCGTGCAGGAGGCAGCCGATCCATGATTCTCTCTCATCATGGATGTTTCTCTCCCTCTCCCATCCTCTCTGAAATCCATTTCAAACCAAACAAGAAAAACCCATTTACACAGTTCTCCAGGGTGCACCGAATCTGTATCCCTGGGTTCTAGGCTGCCCCGGGCAGCAGCCCCGGGAAAGATTTGCCTCACTTTCCCAGGGACTGGCCCAGCCCCGTGGGTGCGAGCTCCACTGGGTAGCAGGCCCTGGGCTCGCTCACAAAAACCAACATTTATTAACAGCTTCTTCCATGCCCCTGGGCTCATGGCCTTCTCTACACAGCACTTGGGGGTAGATACTGCCCTCAGGCATCTGCAGGAGGGACACTGCGCTCGGATCCCACAGATACCCAGGGGTCAGCTTGGCGAGGCGGCCGCACCCCACTTCCTGAGGTGGGCCCCAGCTTCGCTGCACCACTGGGTGTCTCCTGGACACCCCAGGAGCCCAGCTGATGGGTCGGATGTCTGTGCCCCTTCAACCGCCCCTACAACTAGGTCTCGTTTGGGAGGACGGTGCCATGATCCCGTCCTTTTTTTATATCTAAATATTTTTATTGATTTCAGACAGGAAGGGAGAGAGAGAGAAACATCAATGGTGAGAGAGAACCATGGATCGGCTGCCTCCTGCGCGCCCCCTACTGGGGATCGAGCCCGCAACCCAGGCACGTGCCCTTCACCGGAATGGAACCGTGACCTCCTGGCTCACAGGTGGACGCTCAGCCACTGGGCCAGGCCAGCCAGGGCCCCGGTGACTCCCTTTCCCCCTGGAACCCCGACCCTGCGCCAGTCCACGGCCTCACGCAGGAAGGAGCCAGGCCACCTGCGCAGGAGGCCCAACCGGACCGGGCCAATGGGGACGCTAGAAGCCGCCCACCAGGTGGGAGGGCGCGGCCCGC